ACCCAGCGGGCCCCGCCCCGCCCGCCCCGCCCGCCCCGCCCGCCCCGCCCGCCTCCAGGATGAGTTGGAGCTCCGAGCTCAGGCGGCGTGGCCTATCCGGGGTAGGGGATCGTCAGGCTCAGCGGCTGGGCTGGGAGCCTACTTCTGCGCACTTCTTCTTTCTATTATAGGTACCCCCCAAATACCATGGAAAGAGAAGTTTCACATCTCTCTCTACTTCGGCTGAGTCAAAAGGAGTAGGGGCTAGATCCCCTAGGGGGAAAGATCTGCATTTCCCCCAGATCCCAGGTCTCCCTGGAAATGCCTGGAACATGGAGGCTTTGGTATCTATTTTCGTCTCCTCCAAGCATCACATGTCAGAGGATGTGCACTGGCAGTTTGGTAGCACGAACAGGATTTGGATAACCATCGTGAATACAGACAGCTTTTGGTTCATTCCGTCACTGTTTCCTGTTCTTGGGCCTGAGGCTTCTCATTTTTAAAATTAGAGTCTATATTGTAAGCTCTTGAGCTGGCCCCGGGACTTCATGTGACAAATAGGCTCAGTGAATACCTGGGGGTCATCTACTAAACATAGTCCTAGAAGCAGCTGCCACCGTAGAGAATTTAAGTATTACACTGTATTCAATTAGTTTTATCCTGAATTCTGAGAAACAGAAGATGAGTGCTCAGGTGGGAAGAACCATCAGGTGTCATTTGAAAGGAAGACAAACATATAATGATTATAATAGAAGATGTTTCCTGACGGCACCTCTGCTAATCTAGATAATCTGTTGTCTTAATTTGTGGTACAATCTACATGTGCTAGGATCAATTTCTCCTCCAATTACAGATCTCCAAAAACAGACTTGTCTCCAAAAACAGAAGTGCCTGTTGCAAGGCCAGGGCTAGTACCCAGTTTGGTGATGTCACAACACCCACCTTCTTAGGAGAGAGTGGGGCACTGGGATAGGATGCTAGGAAGTACATTAACATATTGAATTCAGAAAAGACAGGAGAAGAGAAAATAAGGGTCTTGGAGAGAGGAGTGTTTTGGAGTTTTTTTGGTGGGTAAGGGATAGACAGGGAGAAAATATTGGGAAAGCAATAGTCCTTAAAGATGGTGGCTGCTTAAATCCTAGGAACAGGGAAGGGGATGAAAATAGCTCCCAGTGGTGGGAGAGACAGGAATAAATATAGCGGTTTAGAACTCCAGAGGCATAAGTATTGGGTGAGTTGGATATTACTAGGAATGACTAGGGCTCATACTGAGATTGTATAATGAATAGATGGATTAAGGGAGGCTTCTAGAATGATTTCAGTGCTTGCTACCACTTTGATTGCCTTTGTTGCAACCATGAAGCCATACAAATGTGTACCTGACAATAGTTTTTAAGGAGAAGCCTTAAAGTCTATTATTTATAATGTTATGTATTTTACTAGTCCATGCTGCCAGACGAGAAATTATATCAAGATTCATGTTAAAAAATGACTTCAGTTTTTCTTTATGGAAGTTACTAAGTTCTCCACTGCCTACATTATTTACACCCATTGTGCAAGATGTGTGATAGATTTCACACGCAGGCTCTTCTTTCTGTGGCTTTACACCTGAAAAAGACAGCATTAAAGAGAAACTACTAGATTTTATTTTGCTTTGAAAGTAGCTTCAAAGAAATTTCAAATTAAAATGTAGGTGTTTTATTTCAGGAACTTTCCTGAAGTGTTGTAAACACATGTGTTCAAACAAAGGGATAGAAATCCATGCAAATTAAATGTACAACAGTGAAAAAAGGCTTTGGTAGCTTATAGCATGTAAGCATAGACTGTAATTCCATTTCATGTCATTTGTGATTTAAGCACTACTGTTGGTTAAGCACCAAATGCCATCCTATTTAAAAATGATTAACATAACATGTTTCGGACCTGGCCCCAAAATTAGCCCTGATGATAAGCAGACAAGAACAGATGAAGGGGATCTTTTATGATGTTCTGCTATCAGAGATCATAATCTGACATCAAGCCTTGTGCCCAACTTCATTTTCCAGCCTTTCTTCCTGGAAAAGCTTAACTTGGAGATATTTTTTGAAACCTGGAATATCAACGTACTGTTATCTGTCTATGATGAAATAGTTGAGTTAAAAATCATATTATTGAGGAACCAAAGGTTTCCAAATCAATCTCTCTGTCAAGGGTTTAGTTCAAATGCACTCTCCTTTCCACAGTACCTGCTTTTCATTTCCATAGTATCTTTGAATTTTGACAGTACCTGTACTCAGAAACACTACATTGGTGGAGAGAATAAAATCAAACCCAAACATCCAAAACCCCTCGCTGTTTGGATTAAACTTCTGGAAAGCACTCAGGTTTTCATCGCCCTAGTTAGTTGTTTTAAATATTTATGCAAAAATAGTCTATAGAAAAAATCTGGAGAAGACAAAATATAAAGTAATCCAGATAATTATCAGATGAGTGGCTGGGAAAAAGCACAGCTGATGGTATCAATTCATAAATGGTGTTGCTGTCAGGTCTTAATTGTTAGTTGGAAGTCAAAACTTCCAGTGCTACAGAAATTTTCTTGTCACGGTGTAATTTTTAGTCATAGTGTGATAAACTAGTCCCACCATTTCTAGAATATCTATCAGATATCAATGTCATAACAGAGATAGGACAGAGCTTTCAACACACATTCTTTTTTTTTTATCAAAAACCTATTCTTTATACCTCCCAGAGAATACAACTATTCAATGTATTTTATTACTTTACTTAGAGGCAAACAAAAAATGAAATTAAAATTATTCTAGTTCTTTAAGAGCTAAATTGAAAACACACAACCCCCCAGTTCAGGGAACTTTTGAATGGGGACTATACTTTTACAAAGGAGTCATTGTAACCTGTAGAAGCCAATCACAACTTTGTCTTCAAAAGATATTATGACTTTATAGCCACTGTGGAAAATGGTAGAGCAGTTCTTTAAAAAAGAGTGTTAGCAAATGATCCAGCAACTCCACTTCTGGGTGTAGATCTAAAAGAAGTAAAAACAAGGAACTAGACAGATACTTGTGCAGCTGTGTTTATAGCAGCATTTTTCACAATAGCCAAAAGGTGGAAACAACCCGTATGTCCATTGATGGATGAATGGACAAACAAAATATGGTCTGTACACATAATGGAATATTATTCAGCCTTAAAAAGGAATGAAATTCTGCTAATGCTACAACTTAGTTGACCCTTGAAGAAATTATGCTCAGTGAAGTAAGCCAGACACAAAAGGACAAATATTGCATAACTTCATTTACATGAGGTGCCTAGAGTCATCCAGTTCTTAGAGACAGAAAGTAGAATAGTGGTTACCAGGGGCTGGGGGAAGGGAGAGTTAGTGTTTAAGGAGCAGAGTTTCAACGCGGAAAGATGACAATATTGTGCAGCTAGAGAGTGGTGGTAGTTGCCCAACAATGTGGGTAGACTTAATGCCGCCAAACCATACACTTAAAAATGGTTAAAGTGGTAAATTTTATGTTGTGAATATTTTACCACAATAAAAAAAGACTTGACTTTAGACAGCTATTTGTAAATAACTTGTAAAAGTTGAGATGAATTTAGAACACCTGTTACTATCACTAGATTTGCTAGTATAGATAAAATGTCATTTTTTTTATTATAACACCAATAATTTAAAACACTTCTAAAGTGATTTCCCCCCCCCCCCGGCCTAGCTATTTCTTTTGGTACTTGTGACTTGTGACATGGTATTTGGTGGCTGGTGGGCACTAAACCCATTTCCTCCTCCTCCTGGGCAAATCACTGCACTACATTTCCCAGGCTCCCTTGCAGTTAGGTGTGGTCCTTCCACTGAGCTGCAGCCCATAGGATGTGGGGAAAGTGACAAGTGCCTTCTAGAACTGGCCTTTCAAAAAGCCTCCCATCTGCCCCACAACCTCCACTCTTTCCCCATTCAGGAGCTGGATGAGAATTCTTAGAACCTGGATAACAGAGACAAAAGGGCAGTACTGAATGGCTGTGGGAAGCACAGCCCTCCTACCAACCTTAACTATGAGAAATTATGAGTGAATAATGTACTTTCATTGTCTTAAACCATGGAGATGTGAGGGTTTTTTGTTACAGCAGGTAGCCTACCCTGATTAATAGAGTATTTGTCCTGGTAAGAGAATGAGGTGGTTCTGTTCGCAAATTGAAAACCGCCCTCCTTTAGCTAGCCATTAATAACTAGTATTGAATGGTTTCTGTGATGGCTTCCAAATCCTTAAGAGAATTATTTAAGTGATCGAGACAGCTATTCGCACGCAATAAGGGAATTGCGTGATTATTGCTCCCTAGTACTAAATATGATGTTGAGAGCT